TCAAGGCTGTATATTGTCACCCTGCTTGTTTAACTTATATGCAGAGTACATCATGAGAAAGGCTGGGCTGGAAGAAGCACAAGCTGGAATCAAGATTGCTGAGAAATATCAATAACCTCAGATATGCAGATGACACCACCCTTATGGCAGAAAGTGAAGAGGAACTAAAAAGCCTCTTGATGAAAGTGAAAGAGGAGAGTGAAAAAGTTGGCTTAAAGCTCAACATTCAGAAAACTAAGATCATGGCATCTGGTCCTATCACTTCATGGCAAATAGATGGGGAAAGAGTGGAAAGAGTGGCAGACTTTGTTTTGGGGGCTCCAAAATCATTGCAGATGGTGATTGCAGCCATGAAATTAAAAGACACTTACTCCTTGGAAGGAAAGTTATGACCAACCTAGATAGCATATTAAAAATCAGAGACATTAAATTGCCAACAAAGGTCCATCTGGTCAAGGCTATGGTTTTTCCAGGGGTCATGGATGGATGTGAGAGTTAGACTGTGCAGAAAGCTCAGTGCCAAAGAATTGATGCTTTTGAACTGTGGTGTTGGAGAAGACTCTTGAGAGTCCCTTGGACTGCAAGAAGATCCAACCAGTCCATCCTACAGGAGATCAGTCTTGGGTGTTCATTGGAAGGACTGATGCTGAAGCTTCTGAAACTCCAATACTTTGGCCACCCGATGTGAAGAGTTGACTCATTGGAAAAGACCCTGATGCTGGGATGGATTGGGGGCAGGAGGAGAAGGGATGACAGAGGATGAGATGGCTGGATGGCATCACCAACTCGATGGACATGAGTTTGAGTCAACTCCGGGAGTTGGTGACGGACAGGGAGGCCTGGCGTGCTGCGATTCATGGGGTCACAGAGTCGGATTCAACAGTGACTGAACTGAACTGAACAATGAGAAAACAGAAAGAGAAATTAAGGAAACAATTCCATTCACCACTTCCACGAAAAGAATAAAATACTTAGGAATAAATCTACCTAAAGAAACAAAAGACCTATATATAGAAAACTATAAAACACTGGTGAAAGAAATCAAAGAGGACACAAATAGATGGAGAAATATACCATGTTCATAGATCAGAACAATCAATAGAGTGAAAACGAGTATACTACTCAAAGCAATTTAAAGATTCAAAGCAATCCCTATCAGGCTACCAACAGTATTTTTCACAGAACTAGAACAAATAATTTCACAATTTGTATGGAAATACAAAAAACCTCGAATAGTAAAAGCAATCTTGAGAAAGAAGATTTGAACTGGTGAAATCAACCTGCCTGATTTCAGGCTATATTAAAAAGCTACAGTCATCAAGACAGTATTGTACTAGCACAAACACAGAAATTTAGATCAATGAAACAAAATAGAAAACCCAGAGATAAATTCACGCACCAATGGACCCCTTATCTTTGACAAAGGAGGCAAGAATGTATAATGGAGAAACGACAATCTTTTTAACAAGTGGTCCTGGGAAAACTGGTCAACCACTTGTAAAAGAAGGAAACTAGGACACTTTCTAACACCATACAGAATAATAAACTCAAAATGGATTAAAGATCTAAATGTAAGACCAGAAACTGTAAAACTCCTAGAGGAAAACATAGGCAAAAACTCACCGACATAAATCACAGCAGGATCCTCAATGACCCACCTCCCAGAGTAATGGAAATAAAAGCAAAAATAAGCAAATGGGACCTAATTATACTTAAAAACTGTTTCACCGCGAAGGAAACTATAAGCAAGGTGAAAAGGCAGCCTTCAGAATGGGAGAAAATAATAGCAAATGAAGCAACTGACAAATAATTAATCTAAAAAAATATACATGAAACTCCTGCAGCTCAACTCCAGAAAAATAAATGACCCAATCAAAAAAGGAGCCAAAGAACTAAACAGACATTTCTCCAAAGAATACATACAGATGGCTAACAAACACATGAAAAGATGGTCAATATCACTCATTATCAGAGAAATGCAAATCAAAACCACAGTGAGTTACCATCTCACGCCAATCAGAATGGCTGCTATCCAAAAGTCTACAAACAGTAAGTGCTGGAAAGGGTGTGGAGAAAAGGGAACCCTCTTATACTGTCGGGGACAATGCAAACTAGTACAGCCACTATGGAGAACCGTGTGGAGATTCCTTAAAAAACTGGAAATAGAACTACCATATGACCCAGGAATCCCACTGATGGACATACACACCAAGGAACCCAGAATTGAAAGAGACACATGTACCCCAATGTTTACTACAGCACTGATGATAATGGCCAGGACATTGAAGCAACCTAGATGCCCATCAGCAGACGAATGGATAAGAAAGCTGTGGTACATATACACAATGGAATATTACTCAGCCATTAAAAAGATTTAATTTGAATCAGTCCTAATGAGGTGGATGAAACTGGAGCCTACTATACAGAGTGAAGTAAGTCAGAAAGAAAATCACCAATACAGTTTAATAATGCATATATGTGGAATTTAGAAAGATGGTGGTGATAACACTAAATGCAAGACAACAAAAGAGACACAGAGATAAAGCACATACATTTGGACTCTATGGGAGGAGGCGAGGGTGGAATGATTGACAGAATAGAATTGAAACATGTATATTACCATATGTGAAATACATCACCAGTCCAGGTTCGATGCATGAGACAGAGAGTGCTCAGGTCCAGTGCACTGGGATGACCCTGAGGGATGGGATGGGGGAGGAGGAAGGAGTGGGATTCAGGATGTGAGACACATGTACACCAATGGCTGATTCATGTCAATGTATGGCAAAACCCACTACAATATTGTAAAGTAATTAGCCTCCAGTTAAAATAAATAAATATTTCAAACAGCCAAAAAAAATTGCCAAATTAGATGAAATTAAGAAGTTCCTTGAATGACACAAATTCCCAAAACCAACTCAAGAAGAAAGTGAAAACCCTAAATATCCCTAAATCTTTAAAAGATATGGAACAGAAAACTCCAGGCCCATGTGACTTAACTAGTGAATGCTATGAAGTACATGAAGGAGAAATATCACCAAGCCATACAAATTCTTTCATAAAGTAGAGGAGAGGAAACAATTCTCAAATCATTTTATGAGACCACTGTTACAAAAATACCAAAATGAAATATTAGCAAATTTAATCCAGCAATATATAAAGCATTATGACCAAATGAGATCTATCCCAAGAATGAAAGATTGGTTGTACATTAAAAAATCTTCAACCAGTGTTATCCATCATATGAAGAAAACACAGGAGAAAAACCATATGACCATTTTGATAGATGCCATAAAAGCACTTGACAACATTCAAGAACCACTATGATAAAGAACTCTCCCAAAAACTAGGACTACAAACAAACTTTCTTAATCTGATCAAGGTCACCTACAAAACTCCTACAACTAACGTGATAATGGAGGAAAATCTAATCCCTCCACTGGGGGTGGGGAAGGCTGCTGGCCTTGGATTTGGAGGGCTGTGGTGAGGCCTATCCAGCCAGGGGGTGAGGATCAAGCGGACTGATTGAAGCACCTGCACCCTCCTCGGGCAGTGGCCCTGATCCAGTCACCTCCCATGGTACCAGTGGTTCCCTGGGAGACACACAGCACCTCCCAGGCAGTGGTGCCCCAGCCCCATCATCACCCCCGACTGCACTGTGTCTGTTGACTTGACCCCTTCCAGACACAGAAATAGACTTGCACCCAGCAGGCCAGCAGACACTAGGTCACCTCCCAGTTGAGAGCAACTGGCACCTCCAGCCCTCTGGAGAGCTGCAAGACTTTGTTCCTGGAGAGGGAAAGCCCGTGAGAATTGTGCCAGCAGAGGCCAAGTGACTAGTATTATCCTGGGTGGCACTGCCCTTTCAGCAGCCCTTGTGTGCCACTGGTCCGACTGGTGCTTCTGGCAGGCCTGGGGTAAGCCCCCAGCCTGAAGTCCCTGCATTCTGTGTGCCTGCAGCCCCAAGAGGCCCGGCCCCATGCCACCCCCAGTGAGTCCAACAGCAGTCCTCGCTTCCCTCCCCAGGCGGCTAAGCACAGCCCACTCCCCATCCCTAGTCTCAGGACTCCAGGACAGGGTCCCTGTCCACTGCCATGCAAAGGCAGCTACACATGAACACAAGCACACACAGATGCCAATGTGCATGCCTATGACCCGTGCTCTCTTTCATAAAGACACACATGCCCAGGTGCATAACCCTGTGCATAAGCACATGTACACTCCCCTGTGCATGCACCTGACCACACACTCTCTCACACACACATAAATGCACATGTGCTAGCACCTGTGCACAGGCTCTCTCTCTCTCTCTCTCTCTCTCTCTCTCTCTCTCTCTCTCTCTCGGGCACACGCACACACAGACATGGACAGGCAGATGGCCATGTGCGTACACCTGCCTACAGACACACAAACGCACACATCAGCTACGTGTGGGACACCAGACGGACAGACCAGATTATCTTCCGGAAGTTGATGACAAGGACCCACACTCAGCAGGATGGTCACCTGTGAGCATGGCCAGGTTAGCAGCGGCACAGACTTGGAGGTGCACAGGGACTGGGGCTCACTTGAGGTTTGCAGGCTTGGACCAGAAACAGTCGCACACGTTGAGAAGTGGGGGAGGGTCTCTTGGAGCATGCGCACTGAGGAGCTGCCGCCCCACACCCAGAGGCGTCATCGCTAAGCCGTTTACCAGGTTTCCGGGCCCGAGTCAGTACTGACTCAGAGTGCCCAGATCACGTAGGTGTGAATCTGCACAGGCACGTGGGGGTGTGACATGGCACACTAACGCATGAAGCTTCAGCAGGGGGCGCCCAATGCCCGAGAGCCTGCAGTCAGCGCGGGAACCAATGGTCGGGGGGAACCAGTCAGGAGGCAGGACCAGGGGGTGTGTGCACAGGTGCTCTTCCTATGCTGAGCTGCAGGTGGCACTACAGGGCTGGTGTCTGTAGGGACGGATCAGTCTTTCCCTCTGTGGAGGGAGGGGAAGGGGGTTCAAGATGGAGCCTGAGGCACACTGTGGAGGAAACATGAGGGCAGCCAATGAAGACGCAGGTGCTGTGGCCTCTGCAGCGGACACAGCATGTGGCAGCCACAGCGTGCCGGGTGGTGCTGGTGGCCAGGATGACCCTGGCGACCCAGCTCGCCCTGGTGATGCCATCATTCATGGAGTTCCTGGGGGCGTCGGTGACCTGAATAATCCCAGAGGCCCCAGCACTGCAGGAGAGTCAGATGGCACAGTCGGTGTCATTCCACAGTTCCCGGGGGCACCCCAAGTTCCAGGGCCTGGTCGAGACGCTGCACCCAGAGCCGCAATTCTGAGTAACCGCCCCCTCCAGTTGTATCCTATTCCAGGAGCCTCGGTGGGCCGGGCGGCTGCGGTGTGGGCTAGGGGTGGTTTGGGGGGTTGCAGGTGGTGGGGCCTAAAGTGTAGGAGGAGGGTACTCTGGAGGGCTTGAGGGTATGGGTCAGGGGTGGTCTGCCTGCCAGGGGATGGTGGTGAGGTAAAGCAACCTGAAGGGAACCAGAGGGTTGGGTGGTGATATCCAGGGTGTCGGGCAACGGCCTTGTGGGAGAAGGCGGGTCTCTGTGAGCAGGGAGCCTGACTAACGTACAGGCAAAATGACTAGTGTGGATGGTGCCTTAACCGTATCTCCACCAGCAGCCTCACTGTGCCTTTCTCATCACACGAGGAGGCGGACAACGCCCGTCACTTCCTGACTCGACTTACTCAACTGCGAGGGCCGATTCGGAAGGAGCTCGGTGTTAATGGCCGCATGCTGGTTCTGTCAGTTCTAAAGGGGGCCGGGGCCGGGGAGGGGGTGGAGGGCGGTGACCAGGGCCAGTCTCGGCCAAGGAGGAGCCATAATGGTGGGTTAAGCCTAAAGGAGTGTGGTGCTCTGGGCTTGTCGGGGTGCGGGAACAGAGGGAGGACATGCTCCTCTTCCTCCTTCTCGGTGGGAACTTGAATTTCATTTTGTCTCCCTTTTAGCCGATTGACTGCTGAAGACCATGCCCTTCTCCAGAGGTCCATCGCCTTCTGTCTGGACCAGCTTTCCCTGGTGATGTGGTCCTTGCAGCACTTTGTGCCCCCCGTTTTTGCTAAGCCTCAGCAGGGAAGAGGGGGTTAAACCTAGCCTGTGTGCCCTAGCCTCAAGTGTCCTTCCCCAGGGCATTGCTTTCTGCAGTAATTTGATCCGGTTTCATCCTGCGTCTGTGCTGCTGCTTGAGGGCTCAGTGGCGTCATAGTTTGGTGATTGTTAACTACATAAAATTGTTTGTTTGGTGATTGTTAACTGCAGAAAATAAAACCGAGCTACTGTGCTGTCTCTGACTTTATTTTTAGCTTCTGCACTTCCTCATTCTGCATTTGTCTTTCAGTTGGAAGGGAGGTTCTGAGATCCAGATATTCAAGGAATACAACATAATTGAAGACAATGTAAGAAGTGGGAGAATAAGAAAGTTGTATACTGCCATTCAGTATTAATTTTGGAATATTTTCTCATTTTATAGTTATACTAAATATTAAGATAAATTACCAGAGGCCTTCCCTGGTGGCTCAGATGGTAAAGAATCTGCCTGCAGTGTGGTAGGCCCAGATTCAATCTCTGGGTTGGGAATATCTTCTGGAAATGTTAATGGCAATCCACTCCAGTTTTTTGCCTGGAGAAATCCTGAACAGTGGAACTTGCAGGCTACAATTCATGGGGTTGCAAGGAGTCAGACTCCACAGAGCAAGTGCACTTTTCACTTTTCACATAACACATGAATGATGTTGCTTTTCAGTCTGTAATTCATGTCTGACTATTTGTGCCCCCATGGACTGTAGCATACCAGACTCGTTTGCCCTCCACTGTCTCCAGCAATTTGCTCAAAGTCATGTCCATTGAGTGGGTTATGCTATCTTACCATCCCATCCTCTGTCTCCCCCTCTTACTGTTGCCTTCAGTCTTTCCCAGCATTAGGGTCTCTTCCTGTTGGCCCTTCACATTAGGTAGCCAAAGTATAGGAGTTTCAGGTTCAGCAGCAGTCCTTCCAATGAATCTTCAGGGATTGACTGGTCTGTTCTCCTTGCAGTCCAAGTCCTCTCAAGCGTATCCTTGTATCCTGAAACCTTGCAAAACTCACTAATTAATTGTAATAGCTCCATTATAGATCCCATTGGACTTCGTACATAAAGAATCATTTTGTCTGTAATGCACAGTTTTTTCTTTCCAATTGATGCATTTTAACTGATTTCTGTAGAAATGAAAGTGCCAACACTTTGGCCACCTGGTGCAAAGAGGTGGTTCATTGGCAGAGACCCTGATGCTGGGAAAGACTGAAGGCATGAGGAGAAGTGGAGGACAAAGGATGAGATGGTTGGAAGGCATCACCGACTCAATGGACATGAATTTGAGCAATTCCAGTAGATGGTGAAGGATAGGGAAGCCTGGGGTGCTGCAGTCAATGGGTTTGTAAAGAGTCGGACATGACTGAATGAACACCAGGCAAAGGGAAGATTCTGGTGGGTTGTGTGGTTTGGCCCCTCACCATCTGCTACCTTTGTCTAGTGTGACCCTTCTGTGGCACACGTTGGAGAGGTCAAAGCTGCATTGTGGAATGCACGTTTTAGATGGGTCCAGGTTGTGCCAGCTAGTTACCGTCATAGGTGCTGTGGCAGGCAAAGTGAGATGGGAGTCTGTTCTCCCCTCCTGGGAGGCACAGAGACTCACAGTAGAGTGCCTGTGTGTGGTGAGAGGCATTTTGCAGCCCTGGGGGTTCGCTGCTGATGACAGCCAACCGGGAACATCATTCTTTGCAGCCAGGCACTCGGTGGTGGTGGCTTTTTGTTGGCGGGGCCTGTCGTCGACTGTCCTGGGAGTGTGCAGCACACAGATCAGCAAAGGCAGGGCCCCTCCTGCCTGTGGAGATCCCACTGGAAGCCCGAGGGTGGGAGCCTCTTGAGTGACACCTGCACCTCTGTGCAGCCTCTGCGGGAGGGCAGGGCTGGGGACACATGGGAACCAGCCCCTCAGGTGGAGGAGTGGCCTGGAAAGAGGTGAGAGGAGCCTAGAGCACCTCTGTCACCTCCTGGCCTTGAGATGTGAGGGGCGGTGTTGGTCCAGGAGAAGGAGGCTCCGCATAACTAGCCAGGACAGCAGGGGAAGCCTGGGCCCGCCCACCCACCCACCAGGGAGCACAAGGAGGGAAGGGCACCCCTGAGTGGAATTGGGGAGACAGTAGGGTGACCGTAGGTCACCACAGCTGGTATCACGTCCACAGCTCCTCTGATTCCAGGAACTTCCTTAGGGCGCATGGCTTTGTCTCGCTTTAACACTGTTATGTCAGGAAGTCTTACTTTCCTGTTTCCATCTGTCCCTCATCTCAGATCTGTGAGTCCTTGAGTGTCACACCTGTCCGTATAGCTAAGGTGGATTATCAGGCAGAAGAGACTTGGTTTCTATGCTTGGTTGGGTCAATCACTGTCTCCCTACTGAAAAGGCTCATGTGAGCATAGATGGGGAAGCCAGTAGCACTGGCCTGTGGACTGAGTGTCCAAGTCCCTCCTCCACCCTCAGTTCCCATACTGAAGCCCTAAGCCCCAGGGGCTGGAGTTTGGAGACGGGCCTTTGGGATATACTAAGGTATAGATGAGGTCCTAAGGGTGGTACCTCCATGGTGGGCTTAGTGAGGACGCCGATCAGTCCTGACCCCCCAACTTGGGGAAGACCCCTCTTCTTGGAGGTCCCTCTCTTCCCCTGCTGTGTGTGTTTTACTTTGAGTTTTATTGTGGGGAGGTGTTGGAGGGTGTGGGGGAGGGCCATTAGCCCTTATCACCTTGAGGAGATGTTTAGGAGCCATGGTCAAGGCCTTGGGCATAGAAAGCCACGATCCTTGTCTCAGCTGTGTCTCTGTGTACACCGTTGTCCACTCCACACCATCTGGGCCAGCACAGGAGGGGCCTGTGTGCCCAGGCGTATTAGAGGTACCTGAAGGGAGTGTGGCTTCATGAGGGAACCGAGTCCCTCTCGCACCACGGGTTCTCTCTAGTGGCCCATGGGTGGCCGGAGAGACTGGGCAGTAACCAATCTGGTGTGAGGAAGCACCCTGAGGACAGTGCGCAGAAGCACTGGGCATCCTTTCACAGAAGGAGAGGACCTCGTGAGGGGCGCAGTCTCTCTTCAGCTCCTGTTTACCTCAAGAGGGACGTGTGGTGGCCATGCAGTCCTTTGACAGCATCATGAGTTTTGCTGGGCAGGGCACTGTGGCTGGGGCAGCCCCCCAGGCACTGGGGGCATCAACTGTCCCAGTGCAAGGTGCGGAGGCTGTGGCCTTTGCTGGAGCCCGCGAGGCCCAGTGCTGAAGTTGTATCCTTTCCAAGGAGAATGCAGGTTCACTGGGGGTTGTAGGGCAGAGTTTGGGGGAGGAACCCAGGAAGATGAGCACTAGAGGGTTCAGAAGCTGTGCGGTGGGGGCTGCCACTGGGGCACAGATGGAGAAATCAGGGACCAAAGATGTCCAGAACTAGCCACCCATGAGCTGCCGCCAGGTGGCTGTGGGACATGGGGGTGACCTGATAGGCTGTGGTGCACTGTTCCCCCAAAGCGATCTGGGAGTAGGCGGGCCTCAGCCGGACCTGGGGGCCAGAACTGGTTGTCTGCATGAAATGGCCCTTAATAAAATATGCCTGCACTCTCTTGGTGTCCTCCCTGTCCTACCTGGATTCAGAAATGGTCAGCAGGTACCTGACCCAGGTAGCTGAACTCTATTTAAGACCTGAGTAACATTCAGAAAACTAAGGTCATGGCATCTTGCCCCATCATTTCATGGAAAATAGATGGGGAAACAGTGGAAACAGTGGCTGACTTTATTTTATGAGGCTCCAAAATCACTGCAGATGGTGATTGCAGCCATGAAATTAAATGTCGCTGACACCTTGGAAGGGAAGTCATGACCAACCTAGGCAGCATATTAAAAAAGAGACATTACTTTGTCAACAAAGGTCCATCTAGTCAAGGCTATGGTTTCTCCATTAGTCAAGGATGGATGTGAGACTTGGACTGCTAAGAAAGCTGAGCACCGAAAACTGGATGCTTTTGAACTGTGGTGTTGGAGAAGACTCTTGAGAGTCCCTGGGACTGCAAGGAGATCCAACCAGTCCATCCTAAAGGAGATCCGTCCTGGGTGTTCATTGGCAGGACTTATATTGAAGCTGAAACTCCAATACTTTGGCCACGTGATGCAAAGTGCTGACTCATTTGAAAAAAAACCCTGATGCTGGGAAAAGATTGAGGGCAGGCGGAGAAGGGGACAACTGAGGATGAGATGGTTGGATGGCATCACCAACTCAATGGACATGGGTTTGGGTGGACTCCGGAAGTTGGTGATGGACAGGGAGGCCTGGTGTGCTGTGGTTCATGGGGTCACAAAGAGTCGGACACGACTGAGCGACTGAACTGAACTGAACTGGAGCCTCCAAAAATAAACCTGTCAATTTTTCCACTATTTCCTCATCTCTTTGCCATGAAGTGATGGGGCCCAAGGCTATGATCTTAGTTTTCTGAATTTTGAGTTTTAAGCCAACTTTTTCACTCTCTTCTTTCACTTTCATCAGGAGGCTCTTTTGTTCTTCACTTTCTGCCATAAGGGTGGTGTCATCTACATATCTGATGTTATTGATATTCCCCCTGGCAATCTTGATTCCAACTTGTGCTTCATCCAGCCCAGTGTTTCTCATGATGTACTCTGCATATAAGTTTAAAAAGCGGTGTGATAGTATAAGCCTTGACGTACTCCTTTTCCTAGTTGGAACCAGTCTGTTGTTCCATGTCCAGTTCTAACTGTTGCTCCTGACCTGCATACAGATTTCTGAAGATGCAGGTCAGGTATTCTGTTATTCCTGTCTCTTTAAGAACACTGCAAACAAAGATTGCTGTCATGTCTGGAGTGCTCACAGTGTATGTAGCACACGGGTTTTGCCCCGGATCATGATGGCCTGTGCTTTCCCAGTCTACAGTGCTCAGGCTCCAAGTTGCACTGCAGGGGAACTCTCCAAAGCAGTCTCTGTGTTTCGTTTATGTCCCAGATGTGAACTTCTCGGGTTCAGGTTCTTGGGTACTCTGCAAGGACACAGACTCACTTGTGCATG